CCAGATACCACGAATATTACTTAACAGCGGAGTTGGGTGTAAGAATTCACGTGTACTACTATTGGATAATACGAGGGTTTAAGGTAAAGGGCCCCGAGGCCAAATCTAAAATCAGTGTAGTGTTCTGACGCTGCGGACTGATTTGGATGCATTAGGAGTTTCGGATCTAAGGTTTAGGGTTTGTAAGGCTCAGGCAGGCAGTGCCCATCTTAAAAAATAACCCATCCCCAGGACAAACAACTTTCCCAATGGCCCTCACATGCCCCTGCGCGAACTCTCAAACACCCCCCTCCCCAAAGACTGTAATTGGTCCTGACACAAAGGCTTTCCAAATCCTGGCTTCCTGTGCACTCAAGTTTACATTTTAGGGCTGGGTTGAGGATTTAGAGTTATAGGCCACATAGCATAGGGTTATAGGCCACATAGCATGACCTGCGCTGTAAACTAAAACAACCAAGCCCTGAAACCTGTAGATTTTCTTCCTGCAATGCGAGGCCAATGAAACTCAGAATCTGAAACCCTTGACCTGATTTTTTCTCCGGAGGAACTGTTGTTAATGCACGCTTCCCACATGATCTAAGGTTCCCACCCCATCTGCCGGATTCTCTGCGAGATTCTGCAAGAGCTGATCGTGATCATCATCACTTTCATCATCATCGCGAATGCCACCTGGCTTCAGTTAATTGACAAGTCCTTACACCCATTAACTGACTTTCCGCTTGCATGTAGTATGTCATTTTCTGCGACAGTGAGCGCAGGCTGCTTCACCTACTTCAGTTGCGAAAACAACTGCTAATTTGCCAGCTCGTTGCCAGCTGCAACGCGCTTTGCACAGACAGTAATTAAAGGATTTGGATAAGGCATCCTCAGAAAATCAATCACCATACTTACTAGCTTATGATATTCCTTGAAAAACTTCAGATGGGGATCCTATCCAGGGCCCGTAGCAGGCAGATTTAGCGCCGTGCGCGCTTAGCACTGCGCTCTGGCTGGCTAGGCTTCACATACTCACGCGTGGCTCTAGCTTTTGCCTTTCCTTGCGCGGCCGGCTTGTCAAGAGACGGAGCATGGCACCTGACAGTTGAAGGAAATTTTTGACACTACACTTGCATCCGAAGGAATTCAAGAACACTGCGAAACTCAGTAGTGAACCTGGCATTTTCCGTCAGCAGCATACATCGGATCACCCTTGGCTTGGTCTTTGAGGATGGGATGTAGGGTTTCGGGCTTTATGGGGGCTAGAGCTTTCGTGGGTTTAGAGTTTCAGTACAATGGCAGCAGAAGCGCAGCTGTCGACCCTTCTGTAGCATGTTGTTGACCTCCCTCTGCTTCCTTGGACCGGGCTTGGTAGGACGCAATTACACTTTTCAAGCCTAGAACATGCACTGGCCCCGAGAATGACAAGCATCTTTCGGCTATAGCCATGGATGCAGCCTTCACCCTGCACCTTCAAGATACCATCCGAAGCATCATTCATTTCCTTCTGCATCACCGAGATCTTTTGCAGAAACCTGACGAGGAAATGTCATAGAAAAGCTCCACTCTGAGGTTTCATGATTCCAACATATGATATTGGGGCCCAGACTGCTGCTGCAGATCAGTTATCGACTTTCCAGCGGCCGTAAAACGCTTGGCTAGGGCTTCCAACTTCTTCAAGTGTCGCTGGAAGCATCGGTTGGCAGGGACTAGAAGGGCAGAGGGTGCCATGTCTTTCTCAAGCTCTGGCCACCCATGCTTCAAGTTCTGCCCATCCTCAGGCTGCTCATGAACTTCATCATCAAGTTCCTCGCGGGCACCAGGATCGGCAGCCAACGCCGCACCCATCGGAGCATCTTGGATGACCAAAATACGGGTATCATTGCGGGAAGTAGCTTGGCAACTGCTACCTGCTACCATCACTCAACTAGATCCAAGGTTCAGGGTTGAGGGCTGAGGGCTTATAGGGTTTTGGGATAAAAGGTTTCTTCCGTTCAGGGCGTGGGTAGGCACTGGGAAGGTGATGGTTCAACATCACACTGGTCACACAGACCAAGAAAACCCAGGGGGTTGATTATACCATTAGAGGGTCAGCAGAAGTCACCACACTTGGACCCTTGGACTAAGATAACCAAGTTACCCTCACCGCCCAGGAGACCCCAGTTGTCGAAGTCTTGATCCTTCATGGAGGGCTTCTTGTCGCACTTCTCATCCCACTCAATTGCTTCCCGCATGACTTGGCGACGTGTCTTCCTCAGCTTTGAGCTCAGAAGCTAATGTAGAGGTAACATGTACCACAACAAGATTTTTGCCAAGCAAGATGCTTCAAGGTGCCAGCCACCTTGATATCAGTCCAATACATCGTGCCAAGGCCATACTTGGATTCCCTCAGCATCATTCGCAATTAGGAAGCTTAGGAACACACACATCAAGAAAGGTACCTGCCTCATCAACTGGTCGGGGAACTTGGAGCAATAGCGCTTGATGCCCGCAATTTTGTGCCTCAATCTAGTACCCGCTTTAAATACCCACATTCAGAATCACAACGCAAGAAGCAACTATGAAACCCAGAGGCTCAGGGAACTTCGCGGTACGCATGTCCTCCTCAGTAAGGAACTCGCCCTGGATTTCCAGGCTCTCTTCCTGGATCGACTCGCTGATGTACCGGCACTTCTTCACAAAGCGGTCCTGCGAAGATGCTAGGAGTTGGGTTGGTCTGGGAGGTACTCAGGGCCTTGGGCATCCGGAGTTTCACATTAAGTGTATTGCTGCTGGTTTATGGTAGAGGAGGTGAGGAGGGCACCAAGGTAAGATTTTGGGAGCACACCAGTCCACATTGTAGGCAACCTTCTCAAAGAGCCCCATGATGCTATCCCTACCACCACCCACGATGTCTTTCCATTGTTCCCGAAATTCGGTACTTGTCAGGAAAGATCCATCAGCCCGGGGCATAAACACTCTGCGAAGCTTTTGGTATATAGCGCCCGAGCTGAGCACAGGAGGTGGCTGGGAAATCAAGACATAGCGGTAATCATCATCATCATCGTCACGGATACTCTCCAGTTCATCGGTAGTAGGGGCGCATTTTATTCCGTTGCCATCATGCTTGGCATCAGAATGATCTGAGACCTTCGTTGGCTCTTCGACAGGATCGCAATCAGACGATGGCAGTTTCTGTGTAGGGACAAACGACGAATCCTGACTGGAGTCCCTTGCACGCAAAGCATCCTCCTTCTGCGAAGCCTCGTCCTTCTGCAAAGCCTCGTCCTTCTGCAAAGCCTCGTCCTTCTGCAAAGCCTTGTCCTTCTGCGCAGGAGGAGGGGAACTCTGCATTGGAATCAGCTGGAGAGGCGCAACTTCCGCAACAGGAGTAGGGCCAACATCCTGAGGTTGCTCTGTGGCTCTGTCCCCAAGTAGGTTGTCAACTAGCCCATCGTTGTAATCATCTTCCTGAACAGGTGCTTCCGGAAACCCTTCAAGTTCAGTAGCATGTTCTGATGAGTCGTCTGGAGCCATTGAGGGCCACCCACTGTAGCCAGTTGGCTGCGCATCCACCAAACTTTCTAGTTCCTTTTTCAAGGATTCTAGCTTGACATCCGCAGCCTCAGCTTTGCACAGCTCAGGCGGTGCTGGAGGAGCCACCGCCTGCTGCAACAAGGACAGCACTTCAGAGGCTAGCATGACTGGAACATGGTGCTTCTTCCAAGCGTTGGACTTGCTAGATTGGAAGCCTGGACGCGAAACATCATCATGAGATCATCGTCGCCAAGCTGTTCCCAAAGCTCGTCCGTCATGGTTGTAGCCACCATGTCCATTTCCTCTTTCAAAGCCTGAAGCAACAAAATGAAGCCAGACAGTGCCATGCATGCATGTAGTCTTCACACACGCAAGCCCAGCAGAACAACCTTGCCTTCAGCTCTTTCTGCATGGTCTCCAGCTCAGGATCGTGGAGCATGCTGTGCGAGCAGGCATGCACAAGCTCGAGGCCACGCGCCAGAGTTGAGTTCGAAAGCGTTCTGCTCTCGAAAGACATGGTGTAAGAAGCTAGCACAGGACCAGGCCTGACCCCCAAAATGCCTGAAGTGCGTAGGTCGCGCGAAGCAAGATCTCCAAGCATGCTCACAGCCAGGGTTCAAACAGGAGTTTGAACCCTGCTTGGGCAGAGGGTTTTCAGGATGACGGGTAAAAATGCCTGAGTTTCAGGTAAAAACGCCTGAGTTTCAGGTAAAAACGCCTGAGTTCAAACCCTCCATTTCATGCGTCAGTGGATAACGCAGGTAAAAAAGCCCGAATTACACTTGGAATTCAGGAATTACAAGGTTTCAAAGCCTGAGCTCGAGAATTCTTTATGCGTCCAGAGTGTGGCAGCTGTGTACACCAGAACCACTTCCTTGTCGAGGGCTCCATGCTTTCAGATTTGCCTCTGCCGGCTTGTCAAAAGATTTACGGAACTCTAGGAAGCAAAGCCTTTACCGACTCAGGAATGTTCAGATGCCGGCTGGCTCTCAAGTAATCAAAGGGTGACCATAGCTCCGCCTCATTGAAAGGATCATCGATGGGAATGTCATCCTGGGCCACTATCTCCACGAAGTTTTCGATGCTGGGCGTCCAGAAGGGGACCTGGGCAGCAGTATGGGAGGAGTACATTTCATTAACTTTGAGTTAGCAAGGGCCGTGCCTGGGGAAGCAAGGGTTTTTCTGCTGGCATAGCCAGCCGGCTTCGTAGGACTTTTGCAGCAAACACAGGCGTGTATGTCCTTAGCTGACATGCTGCATCTTCAAAAAAGCCATGTCCCCACGCTGAACCACCTTGCCTTGCGCATGCTGACATGAAAGTCAATTGCCAAGTCTCTGCGATTCTTTTAAGCGAGGCCCCCCCTTGAACCTCTTGCATCCCTTCCTGTCCCGGTAGGTCTCCGCTGCTGGCTGCGCATCAGCCAAGGCCTTCCTTTTCATGCTTCCAATGCAAAAAAGTCTCAGCCCTGCACTGCTGCTCCAGAGCACAATTCTCTTGCAGCTTTTGTGGCCGAAAGCATGCATCCAAAAGGCTACTTTGTAGACCTGGGCACGGGCATGTATTAAACGGAGATCATGTTGCTTTTGCTGGAGGCTGGAGTCTTCTGTTCTGCTTGACAAGTCACTGGAAGCAGTCTGGCACGTAGCATGGCCGTCACTGCGTGAAAAGCTTTGTGGCAAGGCAATAAAGACGAGGATGGCTGTTCTATCACCACCACCCCTCCGAGAGCAACGATGAGGAGGACCAACAACATGGCCCTGCAGAGCAAGCTGGCATGATGGGATATTGCACCCTTCTGATAAGCCCCAGCAAGAAAGTTTTGAGGACGTTTTGATCAGAATAAGTTAGAAGCATTGCCGTTCTAAATTTTATGGGATAAAGCTTTGGGCCTAAAAATCCTGCGTAGAATAAGTCTGAGTTGGCAGAAACAGGTTTGGCCCCAGAGAAGCTTTGCAATGTTTTGGAGTAGTCTTTCCCAAATCCAGCCCCACTCAGTCAGGAACCTAATAAGGTTTTGTGAAAATGCCTTGAAAGCTACTATTTCCCTAAAACCCAACCCCCCCAAATCAAGGACCTAAAAGGGGAGTTGGAAATTGGCTCTCGAACCTTAGTTTTGGAAGGTATGGGGTTTCCTAAAACCCAACCCCCGCAAATCAAGGACCTAAAAGGGGGGTTGGAAATTGGCTCTCGAACCTTAGTTTTGGAAGGTATGGGGTTTTGGTTTTGAAGGATCTTTGCAGGGGTCTTGGGATTCTTGAGAAGAGTTGGGATGCATCTTTAGACTAGGAATCTTGGGGAAAGCTATGCCCACACAGGCCTGCTAGCAACTTTGTTTGCGCGGTAGACAGTGAGGGACGTCACGGATCCCATGCCCATAAACTCGCAACGCTGCGTTGATCCTCGAGATACTGTCGCAAACGTGCTGCAGGGGATCCCCAACATCATCAAAACGTCATCCATGCGGCTCTGCATAAGAATCCCAATCGCAGCCCTCAGCTGAGAAACATTATGACACCACGCAGAATTGATTTAAGAATGCCCTGAAGAAAATGAAGACAAGATGCGCAAAACCACCATTTGTGCCCAAGTCCATGCAGTTGCTCTTCTTCTTGTTATCTCCACTCTTATCATATATCTTGTCCATGGCTGCCACGTTCAGCCCCAAACCATGGCCAAGTTTTGCCAATCGGGCTTGCCCAGAAAACATATCAATCACCTGGAAGTGATCCTTGTGTTCGGCCAGGCTGCAATATCCCATCATCAACACCAAGAAAATGAATGCCTCAGATAAGGAAGGCTTTAAGCGAAGTGTTCAAGGTTTGAAGTGAGCAGTTTAAAGTGAGCATAACCTGAACTGCTGATATGGTTCTTTCGGTGCCCCCAACCATTCCAGACGACTTAGCACCACTGCATGCTTTCTGGGAAGGCTGGACCAGTCAGAAGGCGGAACGTTGAAATCGATGTCACTCCCACGCAAGGGCACCATGTTGTGAGATCAGGGCCACGGCATACACTATCAGAACACTGGAAGCAGCAGCATGAGTTTACACTTGGCCTCCAAGAAACCAAATTACCCTCGCAGCAAAAGGTAAACAGGCTGGCAGCACGAAGGGAAGTCACCACGCCGTGTTTGGCATACACAAGCAGTCCCCGAGGAAGTCGTGACATTCTTGGGTTCGAAGAAGTACCTGCACCCCCCGGCATGATAAAGTTCCCATCCGCTTGAGAGTGCACAGTGTGAGGGCCGCACTGAGGGCAAAGCTGCATGCACTTTTTCTGATCCGCCCACGCAGAGATTTGCGCAGGACCCCTTTTGTCAAGAACCCCGGCACGGATGTCAGATTGGATTCCACTCTGGAATCGCAAGTAGCTGGAGCTGTTGGTACATGAAGGATGCTTGGCAGCTTTCCGAAGCCTATATCAAGTTAATTACTGTCTGCATTTTGAGTGGTTTCGTGAAGATCGCGCATCAGGATCAGGTCCAATGTGTTCTAAGCCCAGGTAATGAGAAATTGAATCTTGCGCAAGCCAAGCCTTCGCCCTCCAACAGTCCTAATGGAACCCCGCTAGGACTCAAGAAGCTGTGCGTCAGCATCGTAGGAAATCAGACCAGGTAGCCTTAGCTGAAGATGGCAGCCCAAGAAATGGAATTCTGGAAATCACAAGGCTAGTTACTAGTTCAAAATTTTAGGAAGATTTTACACTCCAAGATGCCCTGTGTCTCCTCCAAAGCCATAAAGCCTGGCACAGCCTTCTCGCAAATCTTGTGAATATTCGTGCCATCGACTTTGCCGGCCCCCTCCTTGATGAACTCCATGCAGTGTTTCCAGAAGGATGCCTTAGTGGAGTTCTAGTGACAAGTACAATTGGAGAAGGAAAATACAGATGGCTTGATAAAACCTAGCCACCTCCACCTTGGATGCATTGCACACTTTACCAGCGATGTTCAGCATGAAGGCAGAACGAATGGCATCCCAGCGTTTCCCTGCGAAGACACAAGTCTCAGGCCGGTAGCGCCTGGCAAACGTGGCCCTAACATGCTCAGCTGGCTTCTCCTCTGGCTTGTCTTCCTCGGAATCTTTTTCACTAGAACCCTTGGACTGGGGTTCCCCCAACTCGGCCGAAGCTTCCTGCTCCTCCTCCTCTACTGGGGCTGGCTGCTCATCTTTAGCATCATCTGCGCATTCTTCTTCATCACCATCATCTTTGGCTGTTGTCTTGGCCACACTACCCTTTGGTCTGCCTGGCTTACCTTTTGCCTTGCCTTTTGCTTTGGCTTTTGCTTTGGCCTTTGCTTTGGCCTTTGCTTGGGCCTTTGCCTTGGCTTTACTTTTGGCTTTTGCTTTCGCAGCAGGCTTTTTCATTACCCTCTCAGCATCGGAACCTGCCTCCTCTAGCTGCTCTTCTGTTGCCGGCTTTTTGTCAGCAAACTGCGACTCACGCGTAAGGAATTCTTTGGGCTCAACATTAAACAAATCCTCCTCATCATCATCCGTCTTCTCGATTGCGGGAGCCTTAGTGGACTCCTCAGGGTCTGCCTCATGTTCAGGCACAGGCTTTGCCGAAGAGTCCGCCACTGCTGGCTCGCTTCGAGATGTCCCGCTTGCATTCTCCAATGCAATGGCCTTGTCTGAGAATGCGCTAGCCTTCTCTGACGCAGCCTTATCAAACATCTTCTTCAAATCCCTTGCCACTGGAGACATGTCCATGACCTGGGTGTCAGCCGCAAAATCTGGCACCTGAGGCCCAACCCGAGCTTGCAGAGGCCTTGCGCACTGCAGGGTTTGGGTCCGCTTTGCAATCTCAGACCTTGGGTTTCATGAAACAAAAACATGCTTATGCACGCACGAAACACTTCAAATTTCAATAACACAGGACCCACCTATAGTCAAGCAAGTGACTTCAAATATTCCACGCGAAGACGCTTTTCTTCATCCAACGCCTTGGCCTTCTTAGCCGGGGGGGGCGGACACGCGGGGCTGTCCTCTATGACCACCGGCTCCACATGCTTCTTCTTGGCAACCACTCGGGGCGGGGTACCAGGAGTTGGACTCTTACCAACCATCAGTTCAGAAACAACCAACTTGTCCTGAAGGTCCGAGGTCAAACCCGTGTGCAAGGACTCCCGGGAACCACTGGAGCCTGTTCCTGAGGTTTCAAATGAGCCCAAACTTGGGAGGCTACCTGGCGAATTGGACTTTGCAGCCTCTGTCCCAGCCCTACAGCCAAGGAGAGCAGCCAACTCCGCATCATCAACGCAATCCATTATATCATCATCACCATCCATAAGCTCAGCCTGCGTCATTGGCGTATCAAGGTCATCATCCGACTTTGATTTGTCAACATTCTGTGGCTTTGCCACAGGCTCAAAGTACTTCAGAAGCTCATCGTAGAGCATCTGAACCAAGCTATCCTTGGCCCATGCGCAGAGTCGTATCATGGAAGACTGCCTAGCTTCCAGTTCTCATGAAGCCATGTGCTGCCAAAGCACACGGCGGGAACCACCATCATGGCGCTTGATCATGTACGTCATGAAGCAGCGCAAGCTATTGGCATCACAAGCCACCCTTACCGCATCTTCTGGCAGATGCACTTTCGTCCTCAGGATGGCCACCTGCAGGCATCGTGTCGTTCAAACTACACGCACCAACTACTGACCAACACGCACCCTGCATCCACTTGCACCTCACGACGGGCAGCATAGACGTTGATGGTTTTCAGCTTCTCAAGATCTGGAAGCCAGATTCTAAGTAGACGTAAGAGCACCTTGTAGTTGTAGCTCATAGTCTCAAAGCTGATCACACCAACTTTCTTCGAATCAGGCCACTGCAGCAAACTTCCACTTTGCATTACGCGGTTCCTGATGGACCGGTTGCGCTCCCATGCGCTCGCAAGGCCATCTAAGGCTAAAGGATCCGGCGCTTGGAACCCTGCAGGAGGCATTGCTGCCACTCAAAACCAACTGCTCTTCTTGAGCCCTATGTTGCCTTCCAAATTACAGTTGTCCTGCTCTGATACTCATCACACAGTGCAGTAACGGGGCGCACAATCTTGAAGATAATTTGGCCAGATCCAAATCACCTTAGCATGCACTTCCTCAACATGAAAGCTTGTTCAGAAGCTATGATTGAATTCTCACCATCTTTGCCCAAGGCTCCACAGCGAGAAGTAGCGTACTTGAAGAAGCCATAAAGTAACCTGCGATGGGTCTCGAATGTGGTTTCTACATACTTCTTTTCAAGCAGCAGACAAAGAAAGAAATTCGCAGATTGCACAGTTGTTTTTGGCGTTGTCCGTGCCCTTCCCCTGGCAAATCCTACTTTCCTTCCTCGAGACCTCAGTATCCCAGGAAGATGCTGCGAAAGCCCGTGATGCCAATGGTCAATCCATCTGCCTTGGCTTGGGACACTACTGATAGGGAATTGAAGTAGTTGAGGAAGGGATCTAGGGTTCGGCTAAAGATGGGGCTACAACTTTACATTACATCCTGATAGCAAGATACAAATGGATTATGATACCCGGTCCTGCGCTAACCCCATTGCCTTTAATTAGTTGCCCACCAAGAAACTCTCAGGAAAATCTGCGGACCACGGTTGCCAAGTAGTGGCATACACCATGGGCGCGATAATTTTCCAGCAATATCCACATCTGAATCTCCGAGATTGGTTCCTGGATCAGGAAGGCTCTTTTTACAGGAGGAGAATTGGGGGTATAGGCCTTGGCTTCACAAGTCTCGTGAGAGAACACCAGCTCATAGCATTTCTTCCAGTAGAGATCTGGCATAGATCCCAGGCCTCTCACAATCCAAATGTTCTCTTGCTAGAAGTGTTGGGGAAATGCAGCCTTACAAGATTGGGCACATGGCCTTCACGCGCCAACTCGGTTGCCAGGACAGGATTCATGTGTGTCCCAGCCATGAGTACTTCTGGCAAAAGGCTGAAAGTATGCTAGTGTTGGTACTGAGCTGGTGCGGTTGCAAAGCCAAAGGATATCAGGAACAGAGATGTCACGTGCACCACTCAGCCAATTAAGACATGCCTGCAATCACCTGCAAGCAGATCGAGCATGCAGAAAGAAGCGCAGTGGGGAGGGCGCACCTCCCGATCAGTCATAGCCAGCTGCCATGCGCAGCTCACGCTGGGAATTGTCTTCAATCTGGATTTGGAAGAGTAGCTGATTACACAAATCCAGAATTCAACATTCTCCCTCCTATCAAGTTGGCTAAGTTGTACGCTTTGCAAGGCTCTTTATTGTCTTGATTGTATATGATCGAAGAGAATTGAAGCTTGATAGGCCACAATACTCACATCACAAGCATCTTGTCAAGACCTCAGGAACAGATTTCAAGGAATTCAGCCCGAAGTCGTTTTTTCAGCCCGAAGAGGGTAAAGGATCCTTTACCTATTCAGTCTGGTATTAAGGCCCGAACCCCGGATCTAGGTATTAGGATCCCTATTATAATCCCTATTAAGGGGAGGGGGTTTATTAATTAGGGGTCTACTGGTACTCGTTGGCCACTTCCAGCAGGCGTAAGGCATCATATAAGATATGGGTTATGAAGGGCTGTGCAGAAGGGAGAGAGGGAACATTCTGAGGACGACAGACACCCCTCCGCAACATTGGGGATCCACACAAGTGGACGTTCTTGGAAAACAGACATGCGCTATACGAAAGAATATGCCGGAAGTTCTCAATCTCAGGGACCCCTGAAACTGTGACTTTCCATCACGCAAGGACTAAGTCTTTTGAGAAACCTTGCGCCCGCAAGTCTACGTGCCCATACCAAGGTCTCTTGACAAGCACCTCCAGAGAATCGGAATCTTATGCCGGGCCTTTTCGATTGCAATCACAATCTGGCATCATTATGCCCGAGTGTATGGACACCAGCCTTTTCGAAGACTCTGGGCTCTGGAGGCCCCCACACAGTCAAGTATCCTAAGCCCTAAAACCTTGTCCAAGTTCGGGCCTACAAGTACCCGTACAAAAAGTCAGGAGCGTGTAATTGGATGCTTGAGCCCTTTTATCTGAAAATCCTAGGCCCCAAAACCCAGTCCTAAACCCTAAACCCTGAAGCACTAAACCCTAAACCCTTGGATAAACAGACGCTAATTTCGGATTCTGCAAAGGCATCCCCTTGTGCCTGTGTTTGTGTCCGTGTTGCTTCCGCCAATCCGTGAATTGGCAAAAGTCCTGTACCACCTGCTGCACAAGGGGTCCATGTAGTTCCGTAGTATATATACCGTTTAGGGTTTACGGTAGGCATCCCTAGAAGCCCAGGTACCCACATAGTAGGTCCTTGGGTTACAGATAGTATAAAATTATATAGGGACTTAAGGACAGGAACCCAATATATAGGTAACTGGGCTTCTAGGGTATATAATGTATACTCAGGGTCCAAATGAGTTCCCATCTCACTGTTTTAGGGCCCAAGTACACACTATATGGCTACGTGATCGTTGTTTCCCAACCCTAAACCCTAAACCCCTAAACTCTAAACCCCTAAACCGGTTTGGGGTTGAGAGTAGGGTTTGAGGGGTGTTTAGGGTTGGGGTTTGGGGTTTAGGGTTTAGGGTTTAGGGGTGCGGTCGAATGCCCTACCCCTGCTGAGGATGCAGCTCTACATGTGGGAAAGTACTGATTCATTACAGCTTGGAAGGGCATTCTGTGGGGCCAAATACTTAGGAATAGGGTTGGTGGGAATTCTACTACAAGAATATGAGGGTTATGAGGGGATGATCTTATGAATTATGCAAGCTCCTACAGTGTTTTGACTAGCTTTTGCCTAACATTTTGGCAAAACAGGATCTTTTTACAAGGGTCTATAGTGTGGTGTATTGTAGTAGAATGTAGTATATATCATCGTATATTGCTGTACATCATACTATATGTTGGTAGAATCTATGTGTCATTGAATGCCTCCTGACCCTCCCATCCCCTATACTATGCCCCCCTAGGGTTCCCTCTTGATAAACCGTCATGAGCCATAAAGAAGCCAAGTTCAGGGATGACCATTGGGGGGGTGAGAAAGATGCAGGGTTAGGAAAGATGCGGGCAGTTAGGACCTAGACCCTAAACCCCCCAAGATGTTCATCCACAAACTGCGTCCTGCAGTAAACGAAAGGACCCCCAGATGACAACTATAGGGTTCATAAACAAAATCCAGCATGACCAAGGTATACGACGAGGAATACCATAGTGCCATGATCCCAATGGTCTAGGTCTAAAGGGTCTGCAGGATTTCGTCCATCAACAATAGGCTTACAGGCTTCCGCACTGCACCAAACTTGTAAGATGCATACGATGACTTGAAGACCTTCCTTAACCTCAATGCGCCGCTGCGACCGGTTTCTAGGCCCCATGTGTCTTCAAGCAGGTACTGAGTGCCCTGGACGGACAGCCCAGAAGCCTGCAAAAATCCAGCCCTAAAGCGCCCAGACTCTAAACACTAATCCTAACTCCTAAGCCGAACAAACAAGGACATTCATCAAGATGTGGTCAAGCCATAGAGACCCAGAGCTGCCTATGCAAAAACAATTTCAGGGTGTGGGGTTAAGGGCTCCCTAGCCTAGCCAATCCCGCACACTGCCCCCCCTAAACCATCTAGGCTTATCAAGCGAGAACATTAGGAGGGTAGTATAGCGTGCGTGGTTGGGAGAAGCCAGAGAAACCTACAAAAACAGGCACCAGGCCTGTCACTTGCCGTTCTCGAAATTTCCTGAGTTTCGGTTGTGTACCTAGACCTCTTCATAAAAAAACCAAACAAGCAGGACTCAGCGTCCAACGGACTGCGAAGCTAGGTGAATAAATGACGCCAAACCAACTCAAGACAATAAACAACAGCAAACGACAACCACCACCACCACCACCACCACCACCACCACCACCACCACCACCACCACCACCACGACGGTGAGCGCACTCAATAAGAAATCGTTCCAAACAAGAAATCAGGGCTGGCCAGACTGGAATTTCCTAACCCAGCGTCCAGATTGGGCCGAATTTCTGATCGCTGCTCAATCTTTCTTTGCTCCTCTTGAGGTGTTGGAGGTGCTGGGGAAGGGGCTGAGGGGCTGGAGGGGCTGGAGGCATATATATATATATACACACACATACATCTTCCTATATACCCCTGAACCCTATACACTAAACCCTCTGTATGCGTCCTGCGCTCCGCATTCCCACTACCACGGTATGGTCTCCATCTGGTGATGAGCCATATATGGGGGGGTTCCCAAATTTAGGTGCACATTTTGGGGGTCCTAATAAGATGGATTATAGTGTATCGGGGTCTCTATTGGGGTACCCCCCAACTTGGAAACTACCATATCTATAACCCCCAGAGAACCATGAACTCTCCGTAAAACCTCTCTAAACCCTCTTTCACACCCTCTATAAACCATCACCACAGGGCGCAGACCGCAGTAGCCCCCAACAAAATTCTATGAATCCTTTATAAACTCTATATGAACCACCCCAGAAAAACTCTCTATGCTTTTATAGAGCATCCGTATAAAAGCCCTGAACTCCTGTAAATCCTCTGTAGAAGTCTATAAAACTTTTTTGGGAAAGAAATGTATGTGTACCCCTCTCCGTGAGTACGCCCACTAGGGTAAACCGAAATCTGTCGAATCCACGAAAAGCTAGCCGAAGGTAGCCGTGAACCACATAGGGTTCATCGAACACCCAAACAAGGTTCTGCGAACGGGTTCTACTAACCCCCCCAAGGGTTCTACAAACCCCGCGAGAGCTCCGCGAACCGCCACGAACCTCGCGAACCCCCCGGAAACGTTTTGCGAATGCTGTTGGAAGGGCTCTGAAGCGAACCCCCCGTGATGTGTACACATGGGTGGATGTCAAAATTATGGTCCCTTTTTGGGTCCCTGTTATAATACGGCACCTAAGATTTAGGGTACCCAAAAAGGGACCATAATTTCAAGAAACAC